ACTTAGTGTTTGGGCCAATGCAGGCATTTGGTAGTATCTCCATAAAAATGGAGAACCAATATGTGGATGAATGCACTAACAGTGGAAAAGTAAGTCTTTCACATAGCCTATCTGGAAAATACAACAGTGAATTCACAGCATGTGGTCATGAGTGGGTCTGACACTATTACATAGTCCCAGGATTCTTCTTCCTTTTTTTTTTTTAGATTTTGTTTATTTATTTATTTATTTATTTATTTATTTATTTATTATTAAAGAATGAATGAGCAGAGGGAACAACAAGCAGAGGGAGAGGGAGAAGCAGGTTCCCACTGAACAGGGAGTCCTGTGCATGGCTCTATCCCACGACCCCGAGATTATGACCCAAACCAAAGGCAGCCACTTAACTGACTGAGCCACCCAGGTGTTTCCCCAGGACTCTTCTAATACAGTATTTTTACAGATAAAGATGGTAACTCATTAGTATAAATACATTATTAGGTCACTTGTGTACTTCTAAGGACATCAGTGGTGATGTTGAGAGTATTTTGATGAACTCAAAAATCTGAAATTAAGCTTTTCTTGATCCATTTTTGTATCTGCCTCTATGCCGTGTAACATTTTTTCTTTACTTCTTTTTCTCATAATTCTTTGGACAGTATCTCAAATACTATGATGTTCAAAGCCTGAAGCCTGTCACTATTACAACTATTAACAGCTTGCCTTGAAATCTTTCAAAATAGTGTTTAATTACACTGATTCTGAAATTTATGCAGAAGAGTTGACAAATTTCAAAGTTTCTCAAGAGCACTATCTAACCACTTTTCCAATTTCTAACTACCTTAGCAGTAAAAAATTAGACAAGGAGAGCTCAAGTAACCATAGTTGCAACACCATCTTACAGAACAATAATGGCATCTCACAATATGGGTTAGCATTTTACCCAATAATAAACCTAGACCAAGATGAGGAAGATTCAGGTAGGCTTTGTCTGGCATTAAATTAAGCATATACTTGTATACTCAACAGTTGCTTGCTGGTACATTTCAGTCAGACCAGAGGTGAATAGGCCTGGTGTTTTAGACACTACAACCTAATTAATCAATAAGACATGAAAATGGTTACAGAGGAAGTCTCATTTTGAGGTGTACCCCCCCAACAACCTAATCTAAATAAATATTAAGCAGAGTATAAATAGTTATAATAATAAGTAGTTAACATTTCATGGGTACATATTTCCTAGGCATTATGCTAAGCATTTTCCATATATTAATCAGATCTTAAAAACAACTATATGAGGTAGGAATCATTATTGTCTTCATTTTATAGGTGAGGAAACCGAGGGGCAGAGAGAAGAGCTATAGCCTTAAATTCTGTGGATTAGAATTTAAAATAACCACTGTTCTATAATATATGCAAAGCTCTGTGTTGGCTTGTCTGTGAATTCCTTGCCTGAATGCTTTTTGGCTGTATAAGCTGAATTATATATGATGAGTGTTAGAAAAGCCACATTCAGTCAAGGAACAGAAACTAGATTCTGGAAATTCACTTAGGATGATGTGAAGTTAAGGCTTAATTTATCAAAACACATGGAAATTCCAAGGTAATCTGCGTCCTTCGCACAGGCCTGAGTCATTAAGGATTGGCCAAGGTGGGGAGACTTAACTCCACTTGGGATGGTCCTCAGAGGGCCAGAATAGAATGAGGGTTAGTTGAATGCCAGCCCTTGGGAGAGGCTTGATCTCAGTAAAAACTATGTATCAAGGGCCTCTATCTCTTGATGGAAAGGGACCAACAAGGATAACCAATGCTTTGACATTGCTAAAGAAATTATAAAGAAGATAAAATATTTTCAAATACCCACGGTTAAATAAACAGGGTAATGTATTTTACAATAAGCATCAGGTAAAACAGAAACAGCTTCAAGACTAAAATAAATACATTATAATTTGTTAAAAGAATGTACTATAAGTTGATGGTGGAATAAACACAGTCAAAAGGTGAGCCTCCCACCAAAAGCCAGAGAGACAGTGACTTAAATACTCTCCTAGGGCTTGGTGGCATCAAATCCTTGTGGACCAATACCTGTGTGATCCCTATAGACTAAAGCCTTCATATCTTCATACCTATATACTTATTCCCAAATACTTTTATTGTATTGCTGGGTCTGATCCTAAGTACTTTACCAACCCTTACTCATTTAATTGTCAAAGCAACATTATAAGTAGCTACTGTTATTATCATTCCCATTTATAGCTGCAAAAGCTGAGGCATGGATACCCAGATTATTTGCCCTCGGTCACAGAACTAGCAAATGGAAATTGAACTCAGGCTAGCTTCAGAACACTCATTCTTAAACACTATGGAGTATAAAGAGGAAATGTGGGAGTAGGAATTTGGTCAGTGGCATTCATGTTGGTTTTCACATACTTCTGAAGTGTCACTAGAGATTGCAAAACTTTCAAAACAAAATATCAAGTCTCTATGGGCTCTAGTTTGAGAATAATGGAATCAAACACTCCATAAAATGAACATCATAGCTTTTGAGGTCTTAAGTTGCTAAGTAGTCTTGTTAAGAAAAAGTGTATACACACACATACATAAGCATATGTACATACATAATTTACAGTTATGTTTAAATAATAAATAAACTATGGATGATTTCTTCAACTGTAAAATTTGCTCATGAGCAGAGAAACAAAACTGAAAGTCACATAAGTCAAATTATATTATTTTCTTTTTTGGACTGCTAAACCATGGTTTGCAAAGTCCTCATTAGTAGGATGACAGCAGGGATCATGAAGGAAGGAAGGAACATTGCCTAGCTCCATAAAGTCGTGTGACCATGATAAGCCTTTCTTAAATACCATAGGTTAGCATAGTGGAATGGAGCTCAAAGTCTAAAAGTATTCCAATAGGAAAAGATGAGCTTTTAAAATATGGTCTGATTCACAACTGAAAGGATCATTAATTCAATATTGTTTTGTCTTTCTATTTTACATTCATTATGTATTATACAGTTAGCCGCTGGCAGCTCCTTAAAACCATTCAAAGACATGCACATTCAAATTAATGTTTGTTGGAAAACTGTATTCCTTCCACACAAGATGGCAAAGTCTCTTTTAATTTCTTTACCAGAGCCTCAGTTTGAAAAATAATACAGAAATATCCAGGCAGCTAAGAGGTCTGATAGAAATTCTTGTATGTTTAGAGAAAGACTGTATAACCACTGAGTCACAGGTAGGAAAAGGCACCCATTATACAAACAAATGAGCTCATCTATCATGTTTATTTAAGTCTACTGTTTGTCAGTACTGTAGGCACAACCATGTACCACAGACACTTACTTATTCCTGCTTTCATGGTCAGAGAGAGATGGGTAGTCAAATGATAAGGGCAGAGCATACAAAATTACAAGTGGAGACCAATGATATAGAGAAAACAGTTCTTTGAGTGTATAAGTAAAGAAGCTGGCCTAGACTGGGGGCTATTGGTGAGGGCAGCCTAGGATGGATGTTCTAAGAAGCAAACAAAAATCATTCCATACAGAAGAAAACAAGAATAAAGAAATATCACATGTATGAAAGGTTCTATGGTTGAATGAATACATCTTTAAGACGTAAAGGAGTGCCCATATGGATGGTGGCCTGGGGAGAAGAGTAGGAGGGAAAAGTGGTGGCAAATTAGTCTGAAAAAATTGCCAGGGGACAGACCACATGGGGCCTTGTTGACTCCATCAAGGATGGGGATTTTATCCTCTGATCAGTGAGAAGGCATAGTTATGGAATACTATGATTGAATAAATGTATCATCAGCTTTCCACTGACACAAAAGGCCATGGTATCTATTCATTTTTTAATGTAATAGAAGTTCTATTAATGAATGAATGTATCCATTTATTTATTGCATTACTAGGGTATGATTAACAAAAACTATATATGTTTAGGTTCATACAACATGATCTTTTTTAAAGCATACAATGTAAAAAAAATAAATAAATAAAGCATACAATGTGATGTTTTAATGTTTGTATAGTTGAGAAATGACTACCACATCAAGTTAATTAAGACCTCCATCACCTCACATTTAATCTAGCCTTTAGAAATCATGTAAAAGGCCCTACCTAAATATATAGAGGTGGGGCTCCAGATCACAAAAGAAGGCACTTCAAAAACACAACTGGACCAGGCAAGTTGTCTATAGCTTTCTCCTTACTGATCTTACAACTCCTTATACCCTTCAACCAACATCTTTTGAAGTTTATAACCAAGGTAGTGATTTAACACACTGCACAGTAAGTGAATTGTTTACTGATTTTTTAAGGGAGCAAAAGGAGACAAGGACTGTTATGGAGACACCATCCAAACCACAAATAACACAGTGTCAGGAGAGTTGTGCACCCTATTGGCAATTTGTCAACCTAAAGAGACTGGACAAGCCAGCATCACCAGATCTCGGGCCCTTGCCATCAGTGTTTTGTAAATCAGAACTGAGCAAGAAGGGCTTACTTTTCAGGGCAACCTAACTCACTATTTTGTAGGTATGGTGAAGGTAAACAGTTAAAAAATACAAGAAGGGATATATACTAACATAATTTTCAAAGGTCCCAGAGTGTGTAGCAAGAAATCACGTGGTGCTAATTCTTTTATGTATATATGGAGGATAAAATATAAGCAGCCTTACTTAAGATTACACACTTCTGTGATTTTCATGTCTTTATATTCATCTGCCATTCTTATTGAAAATACTTCAAGTCTGCTTACTACTATGAACTTCTATGTAGGAGACTTCTCCAGGGCAAGCATGCACACAGATTCACCCAAAGGCATTCAGTCAATTAATACATGTAAAAACTCTCAGATAAATCTGCCCAGTCATTCTGATTTCCTTTAATGAGAAGGCCCTAGAAAGGGCTATGATTTCTCTCCTAGCCAAAGTCATTCTTGATGTCACGTTAAGTATTCAGACTTCCTTTGCAGTCATTTTATTTGTAATAGTGTCTTGTGTGTTGTGTCTCCTAGCTCTACATACAAACTACCACACTTACAATCTCCATGAACCTAAGTGCATCAGTGGCTCTGGGGATGCTATACATGCCGAAAGTGTACATCATCATTTTCCACCCTGAACTCAATGTCCAGAAGCGGAAGCGAAGCTTCAAGGCGGTAGTCACAGCAGCCACCATGTCATCGCGGCTGTCACACAAACCCAGTGACAGACCCAACGGTGAGGCAAAGACAGAACTCTGTGAAAACGTAGACCCAAACAGTAAGTAACTTTCCTTTCCTTTCAAATTGCCCTCCTACATCAGGAAGCTCTAGGAACTGTGGTATGAGCTTGCCTTTCTTTGAAGAAATATGGCGTCCATTCTTGTCTTTATGGAGTGGGTTCCTGGGTGAATGCTAACTTTTGCTCTTAAGAGTTTGTCTTATTCTTGCCCCCATTTCATTTTTGCTGCCTTTAGAAAAAAAAAACAAACTTTCAGAGGCTCTGCTTCTAAAGTATGAAATCTCCCTCTTCCCTTCCTTCTTGTTCATTGGTACCAAACTGTCCACTTGGCATAAACATACCTGTCAGGTTGTGAACAACGTTTCTTGCTCTCTTCATGTCAGGGGAACAACTTCCCAGTAGGGAAACTTTAACACCTGATTGAACTGTAGCAGTGGGAATAAAACTAGAATATTTAATAACTTAGAAAGTAAAACTTCTTTTTACTGGAACATGAATGTGGAGAAAAGTCATGATTCTATCCTAAGCAAGCTTTCTAGAAACAAGAAAAGCCCCAAGTATATAGATTGTAACATCCCCACATGGGAAAAACCTCTACAGCAGAATTTCATTACATGAAAGACAAAATATTAGGGAGGGGATTAAGGGTGAAATGTTACATATAATATGCTATATCGCAATATGTTGCATATCTGCAACCCCAGAGTAGCCTCTAGTCACCCCTGAAAATGACTCCAAAAAGATACAGATACCACTTTGTAAGAAATCAAGACAGTTTAACTAGAGGTTAAACACAGAGAATTTTTACTTGCCAATTTTACTAACAATAAGGCAATAGGATTGCATTTTAAATTAATAATACTACTTTCAGGATTTGTTTTCAAAGAACAAGTTGACCAGTTCCAAATAGAATGGCAGATTCAACTGTTCATAATACTTTCTGTTTTAAAAAGTAGAGGAGGATTCAGGTTGTCCATCAAATCCTGTAAGACATTTTTCAGTTGTTATGAACTGATTTTGTCACAGCAAAAGCTTCTCACCAAGCAGAAAGGAATCCCTACTCTAAATACTCTGAGGTAATCTTTTATGCTCTGCAAGTAAGAGAGAGAGATCTTTGAAGAGCAAGAGGTAACAGAGTTTGTTCCCAACAAACACTGTGCAAAGACCCATGATCTTGACTCATCTCCATTTCTAAACAGCTGGCTGAGCGACTATTGTGAAACTCTTTGAGAATATGTAGACAGGGGTACAAAGGCTTGTTGACAATATTGTGGGCTTCACTTTGAACTTTTAATAGAAGAAATTCTGGGACAAGGCAAGAGGAAGGACAAAGACTATACAAGACAAAGGAGAAGCAGAATGAATGTGTAGGGTCTCTTCCTGTGTTTTCAAAGAAAATGGTCAATTGAGAGGAAGGAAAGTGGATGGTGAATCCCGTGATATTTGATGTGATGTCAGAAGAGGCTTTGGGTTAAGACAGACCTGGGTTCAAATCCCAACCACTCCACTTCCCAGCTGTTTGGCTTTGAGAATCATTGAGCTCAGCATCTTCATGTTTAAAATAGAGATACTAATATTTATGTCATAAGTGTGTCATAACATTATGCATCTAGAAAATAATACATCAACCGTTATTTCCATTTTATTCTTTAAAAGGTAGAAAATTACATTTTAAGGTGATTGATTAGATGCTATGGTACATTTAGAAGCTGTATGGAGGTAGATGGAACTGATGCCCAAAAAGAAATATTTCCATGATTATTTTATGCATAAGCATCTATTTTTATGCATACTTTTGTTGATAAATATACCTGCACATTTATACTTCTCTAATGTTTTATCCTAGGGCCCCTTACCAGACTTGCATTTTATAGAACCTTTATCCTAGAGACATTCCTTTAAGTGTTTTACATTTATATCTGAACACACACACACACACACACACACACACACACACACACAGTTTAGCTAGATGTGCCTAAGAATCAATAAGCAGAAAATACAGTCAAAAGTCGGTATGTATTGCAAAGAATGACCAAGTTAGAAGTTTTGAATTTGGAAAATTCAATACTTTGCTACTTAAAAATAGTTTTCAAACAACATTTCTACTATTATTAACTTTTAATGATTAGGTCCTATCCTTGTTGAGGCTGTTTTGGATATAGTAATGGTTGTAAAATGCTAATACTGACACTAGTACTAATAGTTACACCAAATCTACTAATAATACTTGCATAAGCTACTCTGAAATAGGCATTATCCAAAATGATTTGTGTGAAAGATTTCTTACCACTCACGGTACCTCTGTAGAAGGAGAATAGAAACCCAGGTTCAGTGAGATTGAGTGTCATTACCAAAGTCACACCTACTTAGCAGCAAAGGTTGGACTGAATGAAACCCGGGTCTGACTCCCAAATCCGTACCTGCTTCTCTTTGCTGTTCTATTCCTTAGAATGTGTCATGTCATAATTCCAAAGCAGAAATTACACTTTTGGCTTCCTCCACTGGTGATTCAGGTTGCGTATGAAGAATATAATGATATGTGTGGTAGACTCTTTAATTAAATGTGTTGGGAAATGTATTATTGCTGCTGGGTTGTCTACAAAATAGGAGAAACTTGAGCTCAAAGAAGGCTGCCCAGGTAGAGGCCTCATCTTACTTACTCCCAAATTTAAATAACTTATTGTCTGTGTGAATCATGACAATTACTCCATTTGGAATTCATTTGGTGCCTTTCATGAAAAAATTTTGTTGGGTTTTGTCAATGATGTTTTGGTGTCTACACAGAGCAAAAATAAACATTTCAGGGGAAAAAATGAAATCAAGCAGAGTCCCTATCTTATAAGCAGTCCAAAATAATTTAAAAATTGTTTTGGTTCTTTTGATTTTGTGTAGACACTCCCTAAAACACCATAAGTAATTTGAATAGATATTTGCCTAACCATAGGAGGAGATTCATGTACCTCCAAACATTGGTGTTTCTGATGATCCAGCTCCCAAAGGTCCCCTCCAAAAAAATCAAAAGACTTTATCCACACAAAATCTGTCCAATAGAACCTTCTATAGTGTTAGAAATGTTCTAGTCACATGTGGCCAATCAGCACTTGAAATATGGCTACTTAACTAGGGATAAAATGCTCTTTATTTTAAATAATTTATATTTAAATATCCATCTGTGTTTGTGGTTACTATACTAGAGAGCTCATCTCTAGAAATTGATATGTCTTAATAGGCAAGGATTTTATTTAGGACACATATTGGAAATGTCTCCCAAAGTTTTAGTAGTGATGTTTACCTGGGATAAAGTCAACTTAAAGGGATGAAATATTTGAGATGAGACAAAAATGCAACCAATTAGTTATTTTAAATGATCCAAAAGGAGCCATTAATCTGGAAATAGTGGTATCATAGTTAGTAATTATATTCAGAAAACCAGTCCTGAGCAATCCAAAAATGTATGTATGTAGGGAAAGAACAGTAATGAAAAATTTAACTCATGAAAATAAACAGTAAGATTACGTGATGTGAGAGAATATTACTGTATTCTATTTAATACCAAACATAGCTCAAATATTCTCATATTTCTGAGCTTTGGTAGCAGAGACAAAGGAATTATTTGCTGAAATTAAGCTGTCTAGTTAAAAAGAAACAAAAGTGCAGACCACGTACTTGAAAAAGGAACACACCTTTCTAAAGGGGAAATTCTGTACACTATTTTCAGAGGGAGGGTATCAGAGAGGAAGTCGGGTTTATAGTATGAGCTATAAAATAAATAATGAAACAGAAATGTCCCCTTATTCATTGTTGCTCTAAACACTTAGTCTCAATGTATTTCAATCTTGAGTGTTTTCATTCTTAACAGCTCTGCTCCATCATTGCAGCTTGCCATCTGGTGCATGCACGCTTCTACTCATCCGACTGCACACTGCAACTACATGTCTACATAAATATGAATTTGCTTCTTGGCTTACTATAAGCAGGAATTAAAACTGCCCCAGAACTGCCTGAGTTTTCCCCCAAGAAGCTCAGTTTTCCTCTTAGGTTGCTCCTTCAGTTAAAATTTTCTTGTTTAAAAGAAAAACTTCTGTGTGGAATGCACAAAAAGTAAATCTTCTTAAAATTTTAATGTATCTATACACTACCGGCATTAGATATTCAGAGTTGGGCAAGCACTAGTTGGCTTCTGCATGGGATTGAAAAGCAGTAGGGGGTAGAGGGGATATAGCTCAGCTACTTGTTGAATTATTATTTATACAAACAAGATTTCTGTTGCTAGAGGATCAGAAGAGCTATACTTCGGATAGCTTTAGGTCTGGCCAAGATGATGCCTTCTCAACATTTCTTTCTGAGAAGAAGGGCACTTCAAGCTCTGGTTCTCACATCTGCAGTCTGAATTCAGCATGTTTCCCTGTACTTTCTATTGCTGACTTGGCAGATGTTTGTTCATGGCAAATGTGTAGATGCCAAATTAACAAGAGGACCTGGTTGTACTTGGGACATGGCTTATCGATGGCCACTGGGACTCTTTTCCAGTTGAATGAATAATATTAACTGAGGTAGCATGGCTTTATTAGGATGGGTGAATAAGAACTGCTGCCTTCCTTACCTGGACTGGTTAGAACCAGAAGATGCTCTGCAAATTATCTTCTGGTCAGATGCTCTCTTTGTAAAGGATTGCAGTACACAGTGATAAACAGCCCTAAGCTACCTTTGTCCTAAACTACCATCCATTTTCTAAGCCAATGTTCCCAGGTAGTGCAGGGAAAGTACCTGCATGGATTAAAGATAGTTTAGATTCCAGAAGGTCAGTAGCAAACGTTATCAGTCAGGTGGACAGCTACTCCGCCTTCTTGGATGTGGGAATGTATGACTGATTAACTGACTGACATAGAGGCTAGACATATACTAGACCAATGAGTACATTGTCTGATGAAGCATATTTTAGAAAAATAAAAATTTGTACCTAAAATAGAAAATCTAAAATAAGATATTTTAAATATAAGTTTGTATTCTGATGCTGGTTTTTTTTTTAAATTTTT